TGTCTAGATATTAATTTTGATCTGCATCATAGATTGGTAGAAATTATAATGTCGAAAATATCAAAATCTCCTTTTATAACAATGCATAGAGCCCGACTAATATGATTTGATGATTGGCCTGTTTACATATAAATTATTTTTTTGGGATATGAAATATAATGAAATAGTGAGATAACAAGGATGCCATTTATAAAAGAAAATAAGTGCTAAGTTTTTTATTATAAGTTGGGTTCCAAAATTACCAATAGATAATACATATGAAGTGTATTCGCCCTAAATTGTTCAAGGTGATAAAGTAACTGGTGATTAAATATTCCCAACTTTGCTACATCGACAATCTCATAATAGAATGTGATATAGGAAAATGTTTGGTCATCCTTGAAATTCACATCTGCCTTGTGACCCAAGAACATTACTGGCAATATAGCATATATATGCTTCGAGTAACAATGGGGGTTTTAATGAGAATTAGACGAGGTCGAAACTGATGAATGCACCTCATAAATATAATGGTAAATTCCTGAAATTTTGATAATCAAAATACTTTTGCCAAAAAAATAACGTAGTACAATAAGGAGTAATTATATTTAATTTCGATCATTAAAAATTAAGCTCCCTTATTTTAAAGTGGTCTGACTTCGTTTCCACAACTTGGTCGGAGAATATTGTGGAAACTGAGAAGATGCGCTAACAGCCCTTCCTGGAAGCAGAAAAGATCAGGAAGGAGTCGTTAACACGACTAATCAACTTGACAATAAGGACTACATTCAATGGCAACATCCATAAACAGATATTTGGATTTCCTATGGGATAGCCGCTTTCACCTATATTATCAAATATACACATATACGAACAAATCATAAGAAAATTTCAAGACGCCATCGCTGTCAATAAGAGTGCTCGTGTAGGTGAAATGGTTAGACGAATCTATGGGCCCATAAGGGATATTAGTGTATAAGACATGATACGGATAAGATAATCGAGATGAAGGTTAACCAGGGCTAAAATAAGTACAACCCTTTTGACAGAAAGCTGGCTAAACATGTCTCTTTGAAGAGTCGCTCTGACAACACGACGAGGTCTGACCACTTTAAATACAGCGAAAGGAAACTGCGACCAAAATAGGTGTCACAGCATCTTGGTCTTCATATAACTTAAAGCAGTAGTTCTCAAATTTTCCTATTCACGGCGCACTTTTCCAATTAAAATCTTTCCATGGCGACCAACCATTAAAAAATAACTCGTGTATCTTCGCTATTTTTTTTTACTTTACTAACATTAAATTAATATTTAATAATTAATGTGATGGATGTGTCTGCAAATCCCTACAAATTTTTCCAAATTGAAACTTTTACAAGGCCGCGGCACCCCGGCGCACAGTTTGGGAATCGCTGCCTTAAAGCATATTTTTTCTAATTTTTTAACAAAGAAGTTCCTTACTTACTCACTGTCTAATCTAGGATTTTTGCGTCACAATGCCACAAAGGCATTAACGGAGGATAACAGCTCATAGGTTGTGCTTTCGTAGAGCAAATATATTATCTACTTAAGGCGGATAGAATTATATACGTACATATATAAATACATAATACACCACGAGTTGTTATATATACGCGAACTAAAATATTTATATCAAAAAATGTCTCAGTAATAATTTTTTTGTACTTTAGGATCAGTCATAAAAATAAATAAGTCCGGCTTATATCAAGACTCTCCAATTGAGAATCTAGCAAAATCTGTCGGGAGATATAAAGATCTTTGTGCGCAGCAGGAATACACGATCTTTTTGAAAGTCTGCATTGTTCTTGCCAGACAAATTCCGTGTTGTTGATCCAAGGGTAGACCTGCAGCAATCAACTCCAAATCGAGTTCGATGTCAAAATCGTCGTAATCTGAAATCAATCGTGAAAAGATTACCAGACAAGGAAATGTAGATTATTCAATTGATTATCAAGTGATTAAGGTGAGATACAATTAATTGCATCTTTTTACTTTGCATTCTCGTCTAATTTAGACAGATGAATTTTATAGGTGTAATCGCGGGTATTGAAATGTTAAACAAGATATCACAGTAAGTCTGCATTTTGCTAAAATATTAAATTGTTGGAGACTTCATTTCAAATGAAAATAGGTAAAGGAGAGAACCAAAGGTCGATCTCACCAGCAGAGGACGGCTGATTCCCGTTGTACTGCCGCCATTTGGCTTTAATACGACGTTCAGGTTAACGTAGTCCATGCAAGACGAATATGAATGATCATTAGTTGAACTATTCTATAGCTATATGTGCCTATTAATTTTCCATAGCTTTGTTGAGAGGTAAGGAAAGCCAGATAGTCTTCTTGACCTAGTGTAAACATGAGACTCTTACAAAAATAAGTTTCAGCTCTACTAATGTCCATCATATGATGGATGAAAACTCAGCAATTTTTCACCCGAAATGAGGGTACAACTAAGAATGAACAAGCGCAAAAGAAAACGACATGGTCAAAATAAATCACAATGAAATTCCTATAAGTATAAAAGTCTTGACATTACAAATGTACTATTAACTCTTAGCAAGAACGAAAAGTAAGAGTTAACTATTGAGATATAATTGAATGATCATTAATAACGATAATAGGATTCCAAACCAGGGGATGAACACCAGGAGGCATGGCAGGAGACAACGACACCAAAAAAATATAAAAGCACGTCAGATTTCCTAATTTACATCGATATTGAGAATTTTTATCATACAGATATGAAATTCAATGTGAGCAGCGAGAATTCTACTCAGTTCAGTGGAAGAAACCTAAGCATAAATAATTAAATCAATTCAGATTCTGATGTAGGATCTATTGACAGTTTCGAAAACCACTTAGTCAGTATGCCTTCAGGTAAGTAGAAAAAATGAATCTCAAAGAATCCTGTTATTGGAGTACCTTTCATTTCGTTTGAAGAGGCAAGTAGAAGGGATTCGTAAGTTAGTTACATCAAGGGCTTTTGGACTCACCTACATTTGCAGTATGTTTACAGTTAGTTATTTATTTTGACATCGATTTTCTCATCTAGAGAGTAGTATCGTTAGTTTCTATATTACGTTTTGTCTGAATCAGTTAATCACTATGAACAGATAGCTGCAACTAGTTGTATCTGAAGAGAATTCTGCTAACGAATTCTTAATGCATAAGTTAAATAGAATGTAATGTAAATAAATAAAATGTATTTTGATGCTTCTTATGTAGAATTAAATTCATTCTCTTACCTTGTTCGAAATCAGTTGGAGCATTTGCAGTCTCCGCAACGGTCTGTGATCCCATTTGATCACTCTTCGAATGAGCCAATTCATTTGCACAAATTGATGCAATCGTCAAGAGGAGACGAGCAATCTTGCTCGCCAAATTAGGAAAGGTGCTAGCGAGACGGACACAAGCCGGGAGGCAGGCCAAACAGGCACTAGTTCGCTCCTCACAGGAAGCAAGCCCTGAATAGGGACAAAAGTTGCAGAAATTCTATTTGGTAGTGGAGTTAAACAATTGTAGTTTAAAATTCCATAATGCGTAATTACTGGTAATTTAAATCAGTCCAAGCTTAATGGTATCATTAGGAAAGAAAAGATAGTAAAAGGATAGTCCAGAAGCATATAAACGAGTTTTTTTGACAATACGAAAATAAACAGTTTAAGAGCATTTTAAGCAGAAAAGAGTCAACAGGTAAAATGACTAAGACAGATCTAAATAAACATTTATCAATTAAATTTATCAAAAATCAACTGTGACTGGGTCGTAATGTCTTAAATCTGGTTGACGAGTATGTATAAGCCTAGTTTAATTAATGATAAATTATTATCGAAATAAAGGGAATATCATTGTAGAGAAAAGCAATTCTTTAAAGAACCTGGGGGCCAAGGGATCTATATAAAGTTACATAATATTTTTTTCGAATCTGACTAATCAAAAGCGACTAAAAAGAGCATAATGTAGAGAAAGTCAAATTCACTACTACGGATAACAGTATATACAATTCGAGGATTAGAGCATTAACTATTATTAATCTGAAGTATGAAAATCAAAATAATGTAGTCCTTTGTATGGTCGCAGTCATGTTTCGGCAGAATGACCTTGTTTTCGCAAAATTGTCATATTGAGGAAGACCTAGAGAAAGACCTAGAGGAAGACAATATTTCTGTTAATAAATAAGTTAGATGAGAATTTTAAAAAAGTCACCTCAGCAGCCAACAGTTATTATGACAATGGACTCCGGACTAGATGCGTTTCTCTAAGTCTTCCTACCAATATGACCAAGTTGTGAAAGCATGGTCAAACAACCTCTATGACATATTTTGATTATTATTTCGTAATCTGGTCGCATGGAAAAGAAAAAGTAGAGGATTTCTTGGTCCTCATAAAAGAAATGGTTGAAAGTCAAATTTGCCATGAATGTGAAAAGTAACAAAGACCTCCCTTCCTTAGTTGTGGAGGTCATTCGCTCAAAAGGAACTCTTAAGGAACGACTTTTCTGAAAGTAATTACATGCTCATAACTACCAGTTTAACCAAACTCATGGAATGAAGATTGGAATACTCCAGAGTAAGGTTATAAGAAGCCTCCGAATCACTGATTCTGAGTTATAGGAAGAGGAACTGGACACAGGGCACCAAAGAATGAGACAAAATGTAAGTGGGGA